TAGCTGGGACTACAGGTGCCCGCCACCTCACCCGGCTAATTTTTTGTATTTTTAGTAGAGAGGGAGTTTCACCATGTTAGCCAGGATGGTCTTGAGCTCCTGACCTCCTGATCCGCCCGCTTCGGCCTCCGAAAGTGCTGGGATTACAGGCGTGAGTCACGGCGCTTGGCCCTTTTTTTTTTTTTTTTTTTTTTTTTTTTTTTTTTTTTTTTGAGACGGAGTCTTGCTCTATTGCCAGGCTGGAGTACATTGGCGCAATCTCAGCTCACTGCAACCTCCACCGCCCGGGTTCAAGTGATCCTCCCCCCAAGTAGCTGAGACTACAGTCACGCACCACCATACCTGGCTAATTTTTGTATTTTTGTAGAGACTGGGTTTTGCCTTGTTGCCCAGGCTGGTCTTGAAGTCCTTAGCTCAAGTGGTTCACCTCCCTCAGCCTTCCAAAGTGCTAGGATTGCAGGTGTGAACCACCGTGCCCACCCAAAATTAATTTATTCAATTGACAAAAATTGCATATATTATGTACAATATGTTTTGAAATATGTATGCATTGTGGAATGGCTAAATCTAGCTAATTAACATATATTTGTTGGGTTTTTCTTTATTCTCTCATTTTAAAATTAACTTTATTGTTTTAAAAATATAATTTATCTAGAATCTCAAAATAGAACCTAATTATAGAACATAATGCTTACTAAAGTACATTTAGTAGACTTTATTTAGAACATGATGTTTTCATAATTCACAATATAAAGGAAGGAAGGAAGTCTTGCTCTCTAAATATTAGACTTGCTATCTTAATGAGATAAAGCTTCTTCCCTTAAAAATGTTTCATGTTTCTTTTGGATACATTGAACGAATTTTTCTTTTGTTCTGATTCCTATACATATGTAACAAGGAAAAATATCTGAAGTATGTTGTTTTATTTACAATAGCCTTTCTGAAATTGGATTTTTAAAAATGATTGCAGGATTGCTTTTCATTGGTGTAGCTAATGTGTAGTTATGTTGTTTCTCGTAAGTGTAATTAGGTAAGCTAAAAGAAAAACTTTTCTTCCTCGCTAAGAGACTTTTGTTAGTTTTTTAAAAAGTTTTTAAAATTTGCAAATAAAGTATATATAAAACACAAAATTACATTTCTTGTATTAAAATATGTTCTATATCTAACTAAATTACTAATATCGTTATAAAAAATGTAGCAATTAAAATGAATTTTAGATTAGAGGTGTCTGACTAAACTTGGTGGAATTTTATGGTTGCTTTAATAACATGCCAACAGCAAAATTGGAATATTTCTTTCTTAATGCTTTTAGTTATATACTTAGTAGGTTACTTGAATATAGTTAAATAACATTTAAAATGTCACTGAATTTTCTGATATTTAGGAATATGAAAAAGAACTCATTTTTATTTTTTTAAAATAGATGTGGGGTCTTTACTATGTTACCCAGGCTGGTCTTGAACTCTTGGGCTCAAGTGATCCTCTTGCCTTGGCCTCCCAAAGTGCTAGGATTATAGTCATGAGCCACCGTGCCAGGCCAAGAATATGAAAAAGAGCTTAGTTTTATTAAAGTTGAATTTAGGATTCTCAAATATGGATGTGGAGCTGGGTGTGGTGGCTCACAACGCATAATCCCAGCATTTTGGGAGGCTAAGACTGGAGGATTGCATGAGGCCAGACGTTCGAGACCAGCCTGAGCAACAAAGCGAGATTCCCATCTCTAGAGGGGCGAAGAAAAAAAAAAAAAAAGCAGGGTATCTTGGCATGGGCCTGTAGTCCCAGCTACTCGGGAGACTGAGATGGGAGAATTACATGACACAGGAGTTCAAGGCTTCAAGTGAGCTATGATCATGCCACTGTAATCTAACTTGGGCCACCGAGTGACACCTTGTCTCAAAAAAATTTACGTAATTAATTAAAATAAAATGTATATGTTTCATCTATAGTCATAAAGTTACTCACTTTTCTTTAGTTATTAGGACTTTTTCTTTTAAGAATAAAGATTTTCACCTAGTCTTCTTCTTCACAACTTTTTCCAATGTTTATAGAAACTGAAACTCAAAAAATAATATGATTTATTCCTGTCATTTTCTGGTAAATCACAGGTAGAGTCTGGTTTTTGGACTTAGTACTTGCTGTGTCAACATACTAATCTCCTGAGACATAGTTTCTCACTTCATCTCTGATACGCAGTCTTCACTCTATGCCTGGGTAAAAGAGCCTTTCTGCCATTGCTTAGCAAACTCCAGAGAGTAAGAGCGTGAATTCAGTTACAGTGTTGTCTTTATAGATGAGTTAGAGAGGCAGAATAAAGAAGTAAAAACAGCACACCAAAGTATGATTTAGGAAACACAAATTCAAGCCCTGGTTTTAACTGTTACTTGCTTAGCCTCATAATTTAAGGAACCCTAAGGTGCAGAACAAATCATCTGTCAAGACCCACTGTGTATTTCTGTGAATCCAGTTAGCAAGTGCTTGTAAAGTGCTTTGAAAAAGATATGTGGTATATGTATACATGCTTCTGGTTAATATTCTTTATCCCAACATTTCTACCGTATTTGCTAAATTAATATGAAATTTGAGACATTTACTTTTACTTTGATATTATTTTTATGTGTTTTTCCAGTACATTTACTGTTTTATTTTACTCTTTACCTAAACTTGCCAGTCTAATGATAACATTTTAAAAAAGAAAGGCAAATGACACCCATTTTTAGAATTATTATTTTTTAGTGAGAATTTCATTAGTATGAAGTATTATGTACTGTAATTGTGCATATATTTGCGTGTAAATGTACTTTACTAGTATCTCTCTTTTATGGTTGTCATCTTTTGTTTTTTTTTTTTCTTTTGGTCTTTAGATTTATTCAGGTGTTTCTGTTATACTATGTTCATATTTTCTTAACTGAAAATGTTCTGGACAAACTATGTAAGATAGTAATATGTAACTAAATACTATTGTCATATAACTAGGTAGTTATTACATAAGGTTTTTATGGTCTGATAACATAAAAGTTTATCTTTACTGTTAAAGTCCATCTAAAATGATTCAGTGTCTTAGAAACATGCATTTATGCCCATTTTCCTTTCTCATTGTAAGTTCTTCAAAGTACATGATGGTAGTGTTATACTTTTAAAATCTATCCTTCATAGAATACCAACTTAGTGATATCCAGCTTTTATAAGGTCTTTCCAATTTAAATTTGTAGAGCATATTTATTTGTTTAGTTATTGTTTTTTTTGAGACGGAGTCTCGCTCTGTTGCCCAGGCTAGAGTGCAGTGGCGTGATCTCAGCTCACCGCAAGCTCTGCCTCCTGGGTTCACGCCATTCTCCTGCCTCAGCCTCCCCAGTTGCTGGGACTACAGGCACCTGCCACCATGCTTGGCTAATTTTTTTGTATTTAATAGAGATGGGGTTTCACCATGTTAGCCGGGATGGTCTCAATCTCCTCACCTCGTGATCCACCCGCCTCGGCCTCCCAAAGTGCTGGGATTACAGGCGTGAGCCACTGTGCCCGGCCTGTAGAGCATATTTAATTTATACTCATTTGATTTTGCCTTCCACAACAATTTTTGGTAAACACTTCATTTATCTGTGAATTATCAGGCCCAGACCTGACGTCAAATAATCAGTTTGAATAATGCATACATAATATTTATTCAAATGTGCCAGATATTGTTCTATGTGTTTTATATTTATTAACTCAGTTAATATTCATAGGAAGTCTCTTAATGATGCTTTTACTATTTGTGTTTTACAAATGAGGAAACTGAGGCACAGAAATGTTAAGTGCCTTGCCCAGGTTCAAGTCGTGGAGCCAGAAATTAAGCCAAAGCCCCCTGCTGGCAGGATCCATGCTCTTGGCCATTATATGTACTGTGACTAAATGAAAAGCAACTAGAGGAAGCTGTAATAGCAACAAAGCTGCAATAATAAAGTCAATATTCTAATAAATTAAAAATGTTATTTTTGTGAGAAACTATAGTATGATTTTTTTTCCTTGAGTTTAATTTTCAAATAATTTATTACTGTCTATCTTCCCAAAGATATGACCAGTTCTGTTGTTTATTTGATAGGGGTTGATTGGCTTTCTGTCATGTGTTAGGTACTGTACTAAGTTTTACATGTATAGTCTCATTTAGTTTGTAGTTGTTCGAGGGAAGTGTCTAGAATTACTACAATGTTAAGTTTCATCAGGGGAGGGTCTTGCGTATTTTGCCAACTGCCGTATCTCTAGTGCCTGTACCCAAGACGCTGGAGGTGTTCAGTAGTTTCTGAACAATGAATTAGATTGTTCTTAACAGAAGGGAAAGCTAGGTCTTAAAGAAGTTTTAGTACTTGTGCATGATCATAAATACAAAGTGACAGTCAGAATATAAGCCTGGATATCTGTCATCACAGTCTCTGCTCTAGTATGGCATTGCATCTTATGCAGATGCCTGTAAGCAGGGAGGGAGTCCTGGAAAGTTTTCAAGCAGAGAATTAGTGTGATAAAAGCAGTTTAGGAATGCATCTATTTCAAGGTCTGTTTTGTAAAGTAAAGGGATGAGGGTAGGGGGAAGTGCTTTCAGACCATTGATTGCATCAGTTTAGTTTTCAGGGAATGAGGTTGGACTGATAAGAGTGTGAGTGGGAAGCACTGTAAACTTTCAAAGGTAGAACTGAGAGAATGTGTTGGTTTAATTTAGGCAGAAATCAGAAGAGGAAAGATAATTAGCAGGTTTCGAGTATAAGTACCTGTATAGAAAATAGATAAGTAAGAAATAGGTAAATCAGTAATGGAAACAGGGTGGTCAGAAGAAGCTCTTTTTTTTTTTTTCTTTTTAAAGATATGTATAATCAATTTTTTACTTATGTTGAATTTCAAATGATAGCAGCTTTTCAAACTAAGGTTTGAGGAAAAAGATAGGAAAAGAAAGCACTATTTGTTAATTTTAAAATGTTTGTTATTCATCACAATAGTTAATTGAATAATTCTGCCATGTCCCCCTGAAATAGCCAAACCATTGAGCATATTGTTAAACTAGTGGAACAGCACGGCAGTGATATCTGGTGGACTCTTCCCCCTGAGCAACTTCTTCCAAAAGAAGTCTTATCTGAGGTAAATTTCTGTTTGTATTTAACAGCTTTTGTGTGTATTACAGGACTTGATGACAACAAGAGAAATTCTTGAGAGTTAAAAAAGCATCTTATGTAAAGTTAACAAATTTATTTATTGTAAATTAGAAGCTAATGCAGTTTGAAAGTAGACATTTTGTTTAACTATAGAACTGTAGTATTTAAGGCTGGGTGTGATGGCTGACACCTGTAATCCCAGCACTTTGAAAGGCTGAGGCAGGCAGATAGCTTGAGTCCATGAGTTTGAGACCAGCCTGGGTTGTTAACATGGCAAAACCCTGTCTCTACAAAAAATATATATATGTATAAAAATTAGCTAAGCATTGTGGCATGCGCCTGTAGTCCCAACTACTCGGGAGGTTGAAGTGGGAGGATGGCTTGAGCCTGGAAGACAGGTTGCAGTGAGCTGAGATTGCGCCACTGCACTGCAGCCTGGGTTACAGAGTGAGAGCCCGTCCCCCCAAAACAAAGTGTAGTATTAGGTCGGGTGCAGTGGTGCACACCTGTAATCCCAGCACTTTGGGAAGCCAAGACGGGCGGATCACCTGAGGTCAGGAATTCAAAACCAGCCTGGCCAACATGGTGAAACCTCATCGCTGCTAAAAAAAAAAAAAAAAAAAAAAAAATCCAGGCTCAGTGCCTCACGCCTGTAATCCCAGCGCTTTGGGAGGCCGAGGTGGGTGGATCACGAGGTCAGGAGATCAAGACCATCCTGGCTAACACGGTGAAACCCCGTTTCTACTAAAAATACAAAAAATTAGCTGGGCGCGATGGTGAGCCCCTGTAGTCACAGCTACTCGGGAGGCTGAGGAGGGAGAATGGCGTGAACCCGGGAGGCAGAGCTTGCAGTGAGCAGAGATCGCATCACTGCACTCTAGCCTGGGCAACAGAGTGAAACTCTGTCTCAAAAAAAAAAAAAAAAAAAGAAAAGAAAAAAGAAAAAAATCAGCCAGGCATGGTGGCACAACATGCCTTGAGTCCCAGCTCCTCAGAAGGCTGAGGCAGGAGAATTGCTTGAACCCAGGAGACAGAGATTGCAGTGAGCCGAGATTGTGCCATTGCACTCCAGGCTGGGTGACAGAGTGAGACTCTGTCTCAAAAAAAAAAAACAAAAAAAAAACCAAAGTGTAGTATTTAATAAACTAGTGGAATGTGAGGGTCAGTTGTTACCTCATTGAGGGCCAGGATTGATTAATGTTGACTAAGCTCATGTAATTTACTGTGAGAGAACAGTGCCTAATGTTACATCAGGCCTTTGTAGGATCTGTAGTAGAGTTAGCTGATTGTATCACATATTAAAATATCCAAATTTAAAATTAATTTCAAGAAAATAAAAACCAATTCATATTACATTGGTAAATGTGTAATTCAGTGGCCACAGATACTTTTAAATGTGAATGGAGGGAGTTGTACTTAACTGTGAAATGCTTAAAAATACTGTAAATTTCATCTAAAAATGTGAACTTAATGGTTGCATTTCATTTTCTGAAGACTTTTGGGGTATGGCATTTGTTGTCTGTATTGTGATCTTTGTGTACCTAACATGCTTTTACATTATCTTACTAGGTTGGTGGCCCTGATGCCTTGGAATATGTTCCAGGTCAGGATATTTTGGACATCTGGTTTGATAGTGGAACTTCATGGTCTCATGTTCTTCCAGGTAATTTTAAAAAATAGATATATGCTGATCAAGACGTTTTGAAAATATTGAATTGGTATTTAGAAGGGATCTATAATCAAAACCTTTTTTTGTGTGTGTGCTTTATTTAGAGATCTGCTATATTTTAGACCTGGAAGGACCCTTAGAGTTGACTCAATCAGTGATTTCTAAACCTTTTTCTGTTTTTCTAGATGAAATTTCATTTAGAATTTACAATACAGAAAATAGTTAAAAATGGGAATATTTTTCCTCCTTTCAACCAGTTCATTCTCCTTGGCCACTTGGCAACCCCAAGGCACCCAGTTTTGTAAAACAAAGTTTGGAAGTCACTGAAATAGTCTGACCTCATCATTTTTCAGAAGAGAAAATGAAATTGACTTAGAGCCAAGTTAGTTGATGGTCACATAGCTTAATAGTGTCCAACTGGAACTCAAGTACCCTGATTTTCAGTTCTCATCTTCTATACTACATTGCTTTTTGTGACTTTTTCTCCTCTCTGTACAAACAGCCGACTAACTTTTATACTTACTGATAATTAGGAAATGTTTTTGACTGACTGGATAAAGAGAAAGGAGAGACACTGGGCAGAAATTAGAAAGGAGTAGTAGGAGAAGGCACGTATCAGAGGATATGTTTAGATGCTTGAGAAGAAATATTTTTAAGGCAACTAAGTGAAAAGATAGAGTTCAAATGAAGAACAGGGATTGTTATCACTGTGAAGTTGGAGACAGGGATGAGATGTCACGGAAGCAGTGATGGATCACACAGTTCCTCACACTCTTACTAAGGGCCAGCTTTGGCCCGAGAGACCCTGTTTGCTTTCTGGAGTAAGGGTATGTGGGAAAAGTAGCTTGTCTACGAATCGCACAATGGGATTCCTAGTAGGTGGATCTATTTCCTTCATTTAAGCCTTTCTTTCAGCTTAGGAAATTTGAAAAACAAAATGCATGTAAATTCATGTTTTCTCTCTATTACAGACAAAATGTGCATAATAATAATGGCCAAATATAAGTTACATATTTTTATAATTTTTTGTAGTGATTTTTAGAATTATTATTTCATAATTTTCTCCCAGCATATTTGAGGGAAAATACTGCAAGTTTTGGTACTTTGCTTCCCTAAATTACAGTTATGTGTTACATAATGACATTGCAGTCAGTAGCAGACTGCATACATGATGATGACCCCACAAGATGATAATAAATTCGACTGCTGAACAACAGGGTTCTGACTGCACAGGTCTACTTATATGCAATTTTTTTCAATGAAATGCAGATGGAAAATATAGTATTCTCAGGATTTTGAAACTCACATATAGAAAGGGAGGGCTGACTTTTCATATATGCAGGTTCAGCAGGGCCAACTTTGGGACTGCTGTATTTGAGTATTCACAGATTTTGGTACATGTAGGGGTGGGAGGCTGGGGGGTTGCTGGGTCCTAGAACCAATCCTCTGCATATATCAAGGGATGACTACTGTATTTTTACTGTACCTTTTCTGTGTTTAGATATGTTTAGATACACAAATACGTACCATGTGCTGACATTGCCTGCAGTATTCAGTACAGTAACATGTTGTGCGGGTTTGTAGCCTAGGAGCAATACACTGTGCAATGTTGGCTAGATGTAGAGTCGGCTATCCCATTGAGGTTTGTGTAAGTACACTCTATGATGTTCACACAATGATGAAATCACCTAAGGGCACATTTCTCAGAGTATATCTCTATTGCTAAGCAATGCATGACTCTGTATCGAAAATGCAGGTCAATACCACTACTTAAGGTAGGAGGAAGAAGAGTTTCCTGCTGGCACATTTTGGGCAGCATTCTGAATTTCAGAAAAGAGTATGCCAATTGTGAAACCGTGAGGTATAGTGTATTTCAAAGTTTATTCACTGCTTTAGGCTTTGTGAGAATTAATGGTACTACCGTTGTTGCTTTTCAGTTTCTGAAATCGTTTTTACATTACCAAGTGCAGTGACTGCATGTTATATTTGGTGCCGTCTAGTGGTTTAAAATCCATGAAAACGGTCATAAAAACCTATCTGATAGAGTTTACTCATAATACTTCTAGAGTGTGATTTTTTTTTTTTTTTTTTTGAGACAGTGTCTCACTCTGTTGCCCAGGATGGAGTGCAGTGGTGTGATCTCAGCTCACTGCAGCCTTCACCTCCTGAGTTCAAGTGACTCTCCTGCCTCTGCCTCCTGAGTAGCTGGGATTACAGGCATGTGCCACCATGCCTAGCTAATTTTTGTATTTTTAGTAGAGAAGGGGTTTCGCTGTGTTGGCCAGGCTGGTCTCAAACTCCTGGCCTCAAGTGATTCACCTGCCTCAACCTCCCAAAGTGCTGGGATTACAAATGTGAGCCACTGCACCCGGCCAGAATGTAATGTTCTTAACCGAATAATTTTCACTGCAACAGAAAAATTTTAAATTAATTCATAATAATTGTACATATTGAGTACTTGTCGTGTTTTGATAGGTGCATTCAATATGTAATGATTAAATGAGGGTATGTAAACATTTACCCAAACATTTACCATTTCTTTGTTGTGGGAACATTTTATATCTTCTCTTTTAGTTATTTTGAAATATGCAATAAATTGTTACTATATTTACCCTATTGTATTAAACACTAGAATTTATCCCGTATATGTAACTCCTTTTCTATCCCCATTAACCAAACTCTCTTCATCCCTCCCTCTCACCCTTCCCAGCCTCTGGTAACTATCATTCTACTTTCTACCTCCATAAGACCAACTTTTTTGACTCCCACATATGAGTGAGATTATGGAGTATTTGTCTTTCTATGCTTGGCTTATTTCATTTAACATCATGACCTCCAGTTCCATCCATGTTGCTGCTAATGACAGGATTTCATTCTTTTTTATGGCTGAATAGTATTCCATTGTATATATTTATCACATTTTCTTTATCCATTCATCTTTGATGGATACTTAGACCGATTCCATATCTTGGCTATCGTGAGTAGCGTTGTAATAAACATGGAGATGTAAGTATCCGGTTGATATGCTGATTTTATTTCCTTTGCATAAATACCTAGTAGTGGGTTTGCTGGATCATATGATAGTTCTGTTTTTAGTTTTTTGAAAAGAAACCTTGATAATGTTTTTTTATAATGGCTGTACTAATTTACATTCCCACCAACAGTGTATAATAGTTCTGTTCTCTCTACATCCTTGCCATCATTTGTTACTTTCTTTTTCATAATAGCCATTCTGGGCTAACTGGGGTAAGATGATATGTCACTGTGTTTTTGATTTGCACTTCCCTGATGATTAGTGATGTTGAACATTTTTTCATATACCTGTTGTCCATTTATATGACATCCTTTGAGAAATGTCTGTTCAGACCCTTTGCCCACTTTGCAGTGAGACTTTTTTTTTTGTTTCTTGTTTTTGCTGTTTCTTTACTTGAATTCCTTTATAATCTGAATATTAGTCCCTTGTCAGACAAATAGTTTGCAAATATTTTCTCCCATTCTACAGGTTGTCTCTTCACTGTGTTGATTGTTTCCTTCATTGTGCTACAACTTTTTCTTAATATAGTCCCATTTGTCTGTTTTTGTTCCTTTACTTGTGCTTTTGAAGTCTTAGCCATAACAGTTTTGCCTAGACCGATGTCCTAGAGGATTTCTCCTATGTTTTCCTCTAGTAGTTTCATAGTTGGGGACCTTAGATTTAAGTCTCTCTTTTGAGTTGATTTTTGTATATGATGAGAGGTAGAGGTCTGTCTGTCTGTCTGTCTCTTTCTTTCCTTCCTTCCTTCCTTCCTTCCTTCCTTCCTTCCTTCCTTCCTTCTTTCCTTCCCTCTTTCCTTCCCTCTTTCTTTCCCTCTTTCCCTCTTTCCTTCCTTCCTTCCTTCCTTCCTTCCTTCCTTCCTTCCTTCCTTCCTTCCTTCCTTCCTTCCTTCAGTGCATGGAATTGCATTGAATCTTTATTTATTTATTTATTTATTTAATTATTTATTTGAGATGGAGTCTCGCTCTGTCGCCCAGGCTGGAATGCAGTGGCACAATCTTGGCTCACTGCAACCTCCGCCTCCCGAGTTCTAGTGATTCTTCTGCCTGAGCCTCCTGAGTAGCTGGAATTATAGGCATGTGCCACCACACCTGGTTAATTTTTATTTATTTATTTATTTTTTTGAGATGGAGTCTCACTCTTGTTGCCCAGACTGGAGTGCAATGGCACAACCTAGGCTCACTGCAACCTCCACCTCCCGGGTTCAAGCGATTCTCCTGCCTCAGCTTCCCAAGTAGCTGGGACTACAGGCATGTGCCACCACGCCCGGCTTATTTTGTATTTTTAGTTGAGATGGGGTTTCTCCATGTTTGTGAGGCTGGAATCGAACTCCCCACCTCAGGTGATCCACCCGCCTCAGCCTCCCAAAGTGCTGGGATTACAAGCACGAGCCACCGTGCCCAGCAATTTTATATTTTTAATAGAGATGAGGTTTCACCATGTTGGCCAGGCTGGTCTCAAACTCCTGACCTCAAATGATCAGCGCCCCTCGGCCTCCCAAAGTGCTGGGATTACAGGCATGAGCCACAATGCCTGGCCAC